TATATAACACATAACATCACGCCTTTTTATCCCCGAAGAGGTAGGCAGAGGTGCACATATCGGCAATTAATACTACTAAGATATATTTTTTAAAAACCCAGTAGTACTATTCCCGAGCCGGGAAAAGTACTACTGGGTTTTTAAAATGAATTATTTCGACTGTTCAATTCGAAATAATTTATTTTTGGTTAAGAAAAGTACCCAATTTTGTAAATATTCACAATTACATATGACGATGCTTACCCTAGTTATCTAAAATCTGGATCGTCTATTTCTCTTTCTTACGCAGTGCGGGATTCGTTCTATTTCGGCCATGTCCTAACCTTGTCTTACCTTGACCGCTGGTAACCTTGTTACGCGATTTACGAGTTTTTTACTCCAAATCATTTGGTTTCTAGAAGCTATTTTAGGTAATTGATAACAACGCCATCTGTTAAGTTTTTTGGGAATTAAAGTTTCTTTGTTTCTGATTAAGTTATTTGGTTTTATTAAAATTATCGTATTGTAAACGTTGTATAATAAATGTGTAACCTTATCGTGCGTTTCTATGTTTATGTTTTATTAATGAACGTTGTTATTTACTTATTTATTAATTCTGTTTTGTTCATTTACATTTTCTTATTATTCATTTTTACGTACTATTCCGACTTATTATTTACATTGCGAATTTTTATGTTCTTTTTCTGCACAGAACATTAATCATTTCTTTTATTTCTTATTTGCGTATTGAATCATCACATAGCGCCATCTGCCGTCGAGTAGCGAAATCAAGTAGATAGAAAACATTAACATCTAGATGGCGTTTATCTTAAAATATAGTTTACTATGTGGAATACAGATGTCGCTAGCCAATCTTTACAGTTTCACATATGTCCGATAGATGGCTGTAAACAATACTATACTTTTTAACATTGTATCACAGATGGCGCACTGCGCTTCAGTTGTGAAATAACAAATGACTGATTCTTATTCTGATTCTGAGATTTTAATTTTCTATAATTTTTTGTTTTGCTTTTAAAAATTATTTTTACGTGATTTAATTATTTACTCTTTATAGCATCACATATCGTAGTTACGTTTAGAACAATTCTTGTATTTTTTTCTAATTACATTTTTTATAAAACAAGTTTAGATATCTTATAAAACTATTTCATTGTTATCAATATTATTTGATTAAACAATAATTAGTCTCATTTCGTTAGTCATAATCATATATCTTTTTTTACCAGACAACGTGTGGGCGAAGTCGCCGGCAGGAGTTATGTACATTATGTAAAGCATATATGTACATAAAAAAACTAATTAAAAAGTTCCGAATGCACTATGGTTTGATCAATTTTATTATCCCGCTGTGAGCGACCCCTACCGGCAATTTGATTGCTGACAAATTTAAAAACTACGAACAAAGTTAAATCTTACTTCCTAAAGAATAAAGTTCAAATTCCAATACAAATAGATTGCAAATGCGTTATTTTGGAATCAATAAAAATTGTAGTTCAATATTTAAATTTGACGCATATTCGAATAGGCGTAACGCGTTCATAATTGTTCTCGATTTTAGAACCTAACCCCACGTGTTCAGAGTTCACTTTTGCATGGATTGTTGTTCATTTTTTACCGGTTTTAGATCGAAGCCGGTTATTAATTCAAGTGTTTGAACCAATTAAAGATGGCGTGTGTCGAACGTTGATTTTGTTCTTAATTATTTTAATTGTATACTTCATTCAGAACCTCGTTGATCAACTCGCAAGTATCATTGCGGAGATATCGATAAAGAGACAGCAGGGTAACTTCCCGGGGCGGGCAAAATGATTGCATATACGATTTTCTTCCTTTAAGTCTTCTCATGTCTATAAAATACTAACTTCTGCCTGCGACTTCGTACGCGCAATCCCGTATTTTCGATATAAAATAAAAAATGTCCGTCTCCTGATTCTAAGCTACCTACACTATATTTATATTAAAACGCTGAAAAGTTTAATTTTATTGGTACATATGAATGTACCAATAAAATTAAACTTTTCAGCATATGAATGCAACAATGATCAAAAATACCGTCCCATACAATTTACGACGATTGTTGATGTCAAAAAACCTTATATTACTTTGCCCAAACTAGTAATCGAATCGCCATCTAACATAAGACTACGCGGCAAGACTCAAAAGTCAAAACTAAAACCAACAAATCAGACAAAATCTACAAAATATAATATTTTTATATTAAAACTTAAGCGGCCTCGCAAAAGGATTCCGAGAAAAATTCCTTCGTTATTATTTATTGTATAGAATGAAAAAAAAAAACAAGAAATCTTCGCGCCCTTTTATCTGTCACTGTCATCTTTGTCAAAATGGCGCCGACTTATATTATGATTATGAAGCTTTTAACGAATCTATTGATGTTATTGTAATCCTTTAATGTTATGAATCGATTATTATTAGTTTTTTTTTTTTAATAAATATTTTTAGGGGATTCCAAACGGCTATGCATACATAGACCACATAAACTAGGTACAAGTATAAACCTTAAGTGTGGGAAAGCCAGCTTTGCACCCGTGCGAAGCCGGGACAGGTCGCTAGTATATTATGAAGTAAGCTCACCTGGCAGACTTCGTACCACCTTATATACTCACCTTTTATACATTTCCTGGACTTCATCGAACATTTCATCGATCGGTTCAGTCATTCTCGAGTTTTAGCGACATTGACGTACGGAAATTCATTTTTATTTATACAAGGCGTAGTTTTAAAACCGTGTCATTTCTCGGGCGCATGTCACAGAAGTCATAAAGGTTCAATGTAAGAGAAAGTTTCGGGCCAATAGTTAAAAATACGGCTATAATAAATCGTTTAGGTTCGACAGTATTTCAGAATAAGCGACAACAATGTTTCTTATTGGAGTTTCATGGAATTAGGAATAATATCATTTACGTATTTGAGTTTGTGTATGTCAAGCCGCATTATAAAGCTAGTTACAAGACGGCGGCGTGTAGTTCGCACTTACGGATTTCCGAAATTTACAGAAAAATGTAAAATATTTATATACAATTTTTTTAATGGTTCGTACTCAGAATCGGTAGCTGAGTCACAAACAACACCTTGTACCTATAGATATAGATATTTCAATTTAATCAACTAATTGTATGTTTTTCTCTTGTCCCCAGGACATGGACCTCATCGAGGTGCTTTGGAAGCAGGATGTCGACATGGGATTTTCTTTGGAGGACCCTGTGCAACCGGTATGTGTCTAATTCCTAACTTCGTTCATTTGAAATCACATTAAACTGTCAAACACCGCGAAGACACCGGTGACCGCAACCTATTGTTCTTTAATTGTGTCTATAATGACGGTACTCAACGAGTTAAATCATGATTTTTCGCAAAAGAAAATCAACATTATTAGCTTGTCAGGCAGTCCTAAGCAAGCGTCTTTGCCCAGCAGAAAAATAGGTACGGGCTACTAAAATATGAATTAAACTGTCAAACACCGCGAGGACACCGGTGACCGCAACCTATTGTTCTTTAATTGTGTCTATAATGAAAGACTCAAAGGGTTAAATCATGATTTTTCGCAAAAGAAAATCAACATTATTAGTTTGTCAGTCAGTCCTAAGCAAGCGTAGTCTTTGCCCAGCAGAAAAATAGGTACGGGCTACTAAAATATGAATTAAACTGTCAAACACCGCGAGGACACCGGTGACCGCAACCTATTGTTCTTTAATTGTGTCTAATGACTCAACGAGTTAATGAGATTTTTTTTTATCTTATACGTACTGTGGCATATTTATCGGATGAGCCCTCGTTCCTAAAAGAACAGAAAAGTTCAGATGAAGACCTCTGACCCCTTGGGACTAGAGAATGCAAATCCGTCCTGTTTTAAAATCCGGATTTTTAAGAACGGATTTTTGGTCCAATCCGGATTATCCGGATTTTACGGATTTTTCATGAAAATAAACAAACTTACTTATATCAGTTTATTAATATGATGTTTCTTATATTTGTGTAAAGGGATTAAAATAAAAACACTGGAAAATCAAATCATATGATTTTTATTTTATTTTTGTTATTTGGAATTATTCAACTTCAATACTAATCAATTTTAATACTAATATTTTGGTATTATAGCTATAATATTCTTATTAAATAATCAGTTTGTAACTCGCTAGTGAGTAACGTTAAAAAATACAAATTAAAATAAACTTTGGAGATCAAAAATAAAGACAAATTAATAAACTTCTTCTCGAATTATTAAACATTACAAACGAAAATAATCCGCATTATTAAAATAATCAGTCTGTGACTCGTAAGCTGAGTAACGTTAGTAAAATAAAATTAAAAGAAATTCTGGAAAACATAAATAATAGACTTCTTGTCAAATTAATAGACATAACAAAAGTTACAAAATAATTTAACTTCGGTTTAATCAACATAAATAAAAAAAAAACCTATGTTATTTTATGAGACATAAAATGTGACCTCAAAAATAATAAAGCATCTAAAGTGCTATCATTTAACCTGCTGCGAATTCGGTTACACATAATTCCTGCTGCAGAAAAAGCACGCTCCGATTCGACGCTTGTAGGGGGAATGCATTGAAGATGCTTATAAGCGGCCTCCAAATATCGTCCTCGTGAACCACTGTCCTCGAATAACGCCATCTCCACTCGCACTAAACTGGGAATATCAGTTTCAGGCTTTCGGCTAATGAGCACATTTTCTTCTCCAGCCTTATTGATTTTGTTTAACTCAAATGCTAATCTCTCTCGAAAACTCATTTCTTGATCTAAAGACTCTTCTTCTCTGGAAATAGTTTTATGTGATTCAACAGACACTTCTATAGGATTAATACGGCTTTCTACAGTTCTGCAAATTACTCCTTCTATTTCTTTCTTAGATGGCTTATAAAATACTTCATCGGAGGGTGAGTTGGAAAATTCATGCGGATTATGGAGATAAAACAATGTTCCTGCGACACAATGTAAGCGTCGTTCTTTGACCCTTTTTTTTAAGGCGTCAGAAACACTTTTTGTCAGATTTCCTTCTTTTTTCTCTAAACTGTCGATCATCAGTTTTAGTGCAGTATCAGCAGTAATCAGAGTTGCATCTCTTCTGCACAAAGCTTCCACTGTAGCTTTAACAATATCTAAAGACATTTGCAGATCTTGGATTAAGTTAAACTCTTCATCAGTGAAGTTGATATCGCTTTTTAAATCCAGTAACGACTTTTGAATACAGGTTTTTAATTTAAGAAATCTTTCTAGCATCGTGGCCATACTACTCCACCGTGTCTTGCAGTCGAGCAACAGTACAAGTTCTTTCCCAAATTCATTTTGGACATACTTTTGTAAGACAGAATCGTTTTTAGTCGGAGAATTTCTGAAGAGTTTTACTACTGTCCTAACTTTTTTTAAAATGCTTCGAAAGTCTAAGTTTAATGGAGAAGCAGATCCAGCTCTTTCAACGAGAAACTCACCTTCTATAACTGACTCTTCCTCGTCTTCAGATGAAGCACCAATATCTGTATGTATTGAAGGAAGCAGATCATTAACCGACTGCGACGGTAAATGGCAATGGTTTTTGCTGTATAACACATCACATATACCTAAATGTATCCCATGAGCTAGACATATTTGATGAAATATAGGCAAAAGACGTCCTACTTTGCACATCACACTCGCTCCATCTGTGGTCATGCTTAGAACATCACAGTCATCCAAGGTGAGATCGTATAAAGCCAATCTAGTCCGTATCAAAGAAATGCACAGCTCAGCTGGCATAGATCCATATATTCGAATCAAACCCATGTTGCGAAAAAAGTCACGTTTAAAGGATCTGCTGTGTATGTTCATATTTATGTAGCGGTGGTTGTTAACAGAGGTCCATTCGTCGAACGTCAAACCAAATTTTTGGTTTTTTAATTTTAATTGATGAATTTCTTGCTTCAGTCTCTTTTTTTCATCTTCATAAACTCCCATAACAATATTTTTGATTGTATTTGGGGAACTTGGCAATTTTGTATAACCTCCTTTACGGAGTAACTTTTTTAGGTCCTCAGATGTGCAAAACAGCTTAAAAGCAATTCCATCTAAAGATACCATTCTCGCAATAACATATTCTAGCGAATCTTCACTTTTGTAATAATCAGTCATTTTTGGTCGTTTGATAATAGACATTTCATCACCATTGTTGCTGTTGCTACTCGTCGTAGCAGTAAAAGAAGGCCGAATTATGGCATGACAATTGTTAAGGTGATTATGTAAGGTTGATGTACTGCCTTTAATCTTAAAAATTCGTTGACAAATTTTGCATTTTGCTTCCGAGCCATTTGAGGATCTTAAGAAATGAGCCCATACACTAGATGCATCGCCAGATTTTTTGGAATATTCTTTGAAATCCATAGTATACTGTAGTTTATACTGAAACAAATCAACATTGTTATGCTATATAATCAAATGCAATTTACGAATTTTGGCGTGAATTATTCACAAACGGCGTAGCAAAGCGGCATAGCAGGCGTGCACCTTATTTTTAGTGTATCAAAGTATGTTAGGTATATAAACATCTGCTGATCCATACATTTATGTTCGTATAAACCAACATAATGTATGGAACAGTTGATTTGTTTTCGCGATTTCAGAGTTGCTTTAATAGTAAAAGTTGTTCACGATGATGACTACAATGACCCCTTTTAAGATTTCGCATATACTAAAAATACTAAAATTAAGGTTGTATCGAAGAGGCGAAGAGACGTTACTATGCGACATACAGGCTGACTTTGTTGCGATAGCATGTCTACATCTTCAGAAGACGAAGTAGCGCTTGCTATATTTACTTACTTAAATATTTATATTGCACATAACAGAATAAAAATATCGTAGAACATTATGTTACAAACTTAGAATTTGAGCAATTTTTACTTAACAATTGTCCCTATATTTCCTAAACTTCTTGTCCTATTGACTTGAATCTTTTTGTATATTAGTTTTTAAATATATATCTATCTTTTTACACTAATTTTAATTCTATACCTACACTGATTAAAATTCACATTTTCAAGTTACGTAATTATATCTACCTCATTTAATGACTCAATATTTTACTTTTAAACTATTATAAACCAGTCATATTGACTTACAAAAAAAAGAAAATCGTTATTGTACTAACAGTGAGAGCAGAAAGGCGTTAGTGACTAACAATATTGTACCTACTTCTAACTTCAATCATACCGATCCGAATGAGATACTCTTTCCAAGGAATATTTATTTTCATTGTAAGTGAATAATTGTCTTAAACCATACAATTAAGGAATAATTAATATAGATCATTATTATTTTATCTACTTACGTACGAAATCGCCAGTCTAATCCAATCCCGCGCACAAAGATGTTTCTCTTGCTCGTCGCTGTCGTCGAATGAACGAAACGATCCGATCAAGGACGCGCTCGCGTCCCGCGTCCCGCGCACGGCGCCGGCGCCCCGCTCGCGTCCTCCAGAGCTCCGTCCGTCGAGGCGACACGAATATACGCGTGAATCCGCGTGATAATGTAATTACAATTGCGAATTACAATTTCTTATTATTCAGAAAATCCGCGGATTTGATTTTTGAATCCGGATTTGCAAGTCGAGTAAAAATTTACGGATATCCGGATTTCTCGGATTACGGATAGTCCGGATTGCATTCCCTACTTGGGACCCGTGGCATTTTGCCAACTTGCCACCCTGTAGTTTCGTCACTGCGTACACGCAATATTTGTCTCGAGATTTCCGAAATTCTTAACACCTCAAGAACATCTCATTTAGTTCCGATTTTTTTATACATTTTTTATTTTGCCTCTATAGGAAGGTCCCACGGCAACCAAAGTGCTTGGAGATGAGATTGAGAAGGAACTGAAGCTCGCAGAAGAGAAGATCGTGAAGAAGAATGAAGAGAAAGCAGAGATTGAGAAGGTGAAGGCTTCGTTACTGGACTCCGAGATTAAAGAGGTACGTCAAATTCAAACAAGTAATTCAAAATTCCAATTACTAAAACTAAATAAAACCGTTAAAAAATTAGTTTACATTACATACATTTTCTTGTGTTTTTTTTATGGTATAAGCCGGTAAACGAGCAGACGGATCACCTGATGGTAAGCAATCGGCGTCGCCCACGGACACACGGAACACAAGGAGCGTTGCAAGTGCGTTACCGGCCTTTTGGGATTAGGAATTTGATGATTGTTGGGGATTCAGGAATTGGGGAAGGGTAATTGGGCCTCCGGTAACCTCACTCACACGACGAAACACAACGCAAACGTTGCTTCACGTCGGTTTTCTGTCAGGCCGTGGTATCACTCCGGTCGAGCCGGCCCAGCAGTGCCGAAGCATGGCTCTCCCACACTTGAATTCCCATACGTGTGGTCCTGGTGTTGAAGTGGACACACACACACTACATCGACGACGCCGATTGCTTACCATCAGGTGATCCGTCTGCTTGTTGGCTGCCATATGACATAAAAAACATACTACATAAATGATCTATTTTACTGAAGGTTATCCTTACTAATATTATAAATCGGAAAGTGAGTTTGTTGTTTGTTCCGCTTTCACGCCGTAACTACTAAACCGATTGCTTTGAATTTTTGCAGACGTAAAGTTAGAAGTCCGGATTAAATAATAGGGTACTTTTTATCCCTGAAAAAAATTGATATTCCCGCGGGAAAAGAAAAGTATTGGTATAGATGGCGCTGTATGTATTGGTATATGTCACATAGGCTACTTTTTATCCTTTTGTGACGCGAGCGAAGCCGCTGGTAAAAACTAGTTCTGAAATAAATGTATTATTTTCAGGATGACCCTTGGGCCGGACTCTCTTATATCGTTGATACGGAAACAGGTAAGGAAATTACTTGAATAATATTATTATAGCTCTTCACACGGATAGATTCTAGACTAGGGAGCAAAGAAATGGCCTCACTATCGTTTTCTCTTTTTCATTTCTTGAAAAATATATTCTGATATATAAGTATACAAGACAATTTAGTTAGCTTTTTTTATATTCAATGGGTCGACGTTTGACTATCTCGCCTGGTGGCGCACGATGATGCGGTCTACGACGGAGCACGTCGACCCATAAGCAACCTATTCACTCGGGCCTTGAAGACTCCCAGGTTATACCCTTCAGGAAATACAGACTCTGGCAAACAATTCCACTCCTTAGCAGTACAAGGAAGCTTGATGCGAAGCGCTTCATTTTTGTAATAGGAATATTTAAAAAAAGTTATAGTGTTCAATAAAAACACGATAGTGCCTTCGTTTCTTTGCTACTCCCTGTACATTTTACAGCATGAAAAATCGTCTGAAAAATACAACTTATTGTGATAAAACCGCCATACAGTGTAGTCTTTCATAACATTTGTAATATTTTCTTATATTATGCTAAATTTCATCTGAATTGGTTCGGCAGTTTTTGAGATATTAACCAATTTAAACTAAATTAGGTCTGGAAATGGTTTTATTTTAAAGATGTGCATAAAATCTTGGATATCAAGAAAACTGTGAAGACATACAAAAAACAATACCGCAATTGGCAGAGGACTAACAAGGTAAGTAAACTATCGCAAGTTCGAATCTCATTGTAACCTAGCGAGGTGTCGCTGAGAATCTAACGGGTAACCGGGCCTCCGGCTCGAAGTGCAGGAGAAGGAACGGGGTGGTTTTTAGTCAGTAAGAGTCTGACACTCCCTCCGGCCTCACCCAGACGGGAGCAGTCATTCGATGATTTTACCCCCTTAAAAAAAACCTAGCGGGTTGCTGTGTCTCCGGCTCGACGTGCAGGAGTAGGAACGTTGTAGTTTTTAGTCAGTAAGAGTCTGACACTCTCTTTCACCTCACCTAAGGCCGTAGAAGTCATGTAACAGGGTGTGAGCCTATTGCCATATACCAGGCACTATCCCAGGATCCGTGCTACTACTGGGATTTTTAAAAAACCCAGTAATACTTTGCCCGACCCGGGAATCGAACCCGAGACCCCTTGCCCGGCAGTCGCACTTGCGACCACTCGGCCAACGAGGCAGTCTAAATTAATTAACTCGTCGGGTACCGTCTTTGTAGATGCAATTATAGAACAATAGGTTGCGGTCACCGGTGACCGCTTGGTGTTTGACAGTTTAATTCCTCTTATATATTAATTACTAGCCGTTGCCCGCGACTTCGGCCGCGTAGAATAATGGCTTCTGGCAGAATTTATGCTGTTGAATTAGTGTTTATCAAGGGATATTCCACGGTAACGAATGTCGTCAGAATTGATTCAGTACCGAGTATATAGCTCCTCTCCTGTAGATAATAGCGTGATAGTAAGTCTATATGTTGACCCGACTTGTTAGTAATATTCATGCAAAATTTGAAGTAAATCCATGCAGTACTTTTTGAGATCATCCCGGACATACATATAAGCGAACAGACGAACAGCCGGGGTCCGCTAGTATATATATATAAAGATATATAGATATAGATTCTATGTCTGACAAAAGATATAATGTAAATATTATGAAGTCCCTTACGAATGAGACTCGGGGAAGAGACGCAATTGTGACAATTGTAGATGTAAGTACGCACAACTTATAACGAAGAAATCGATCTCAAAATGTTATATTTGAAATCAAAAATCCGCTCGCAACTGGTCTCAGTCGGAAAGAGCGGCTTTGAAAACGGCTGAGTCACTTGACTAATGATATGTCGCGGCTCCGCTTAAGGTACACACCCTAGGGAATAGAAACAATAGTGGAAATAACTTCAAGCTAAGAAAAATAAGGATCAATAATGTTTCTAGAAAAAAAATACGAATTAGAGAAAAAAAACGTATGGAACAGATGGTCGTTGTGAAGTATAAAATACTTGTTTCTGCCACCGGTTTCAGTCGCGTTCGCGTGGAATAAAAATGGCGTATGTGTTTTTCCAGGCTATATATATATATATATATATATCTCTCTCTAGTAGCTAGAGGATCAGAGTTCGGTAGCTTAGCGGCCTTCTCTGAACCTAACTACGACTAACTCCAGTTCGATAGCCTAGCGGTCTTCTGGAATTAGCCAGCTAGGGGAGGTCTGAAAGACGATAGCCACCACAATTTCTGTCTGGATTAAATAAGTAATAGGGTACTTTTTATCCCGGAAAAAAATGATATTCTCGAGGGAAAACGAAAATATTGGTATAGATGGCACTGTGTGTATTGGTATATGTCACATAGGCTACTTTTGTAATTTTTATTTCACTTTTTTTTTTTTGTCATTTGTAAATTTGAAATTTGTGATTGTTGTGTACTATGGGTTCCTATGCCTGAAATAAATGATTTATTATTATTATTATTATTATCCTTTTCTGACACGAGCGAAGCCGCGGGTAAAAGCTAGTATTTTATTAGGGGGATATTCCCCTCCCCTGATTACTTATATCATGCCACCCTTGTGTAAATGTTACATAAGGGTCAGTAAGGGTAACGACCCAGCGTCGATTCCCGTTCCAGTTGTTGCAATAAATTGAATATGTTTTTGTAATAATTCTTATTGGTAGTTTTATATGGTGTAGGGTCGATTCTTGAGTTGTGGAAAAAGTAATAGGTCTGTTTAAAAATAATTTAAATGTAAAAAATGAGAATTCGTTATGAATTTTGTATTAAACTACAAGTTGTTATGTCATATTTTTGCAGTAAAATTTATCTCTAGAATTGGTTAGGAAAATAATCTAACAACCTACATCATCTTCAAACCTTCAAGAAAAGAGCGTATTTCTTTTTTAACTGTCGAACACCGCGAGGTCACCGGTGACCGCAACCTATTGTTCTATAATTGTGTCTATAATGACGGTACTCAACGAGTTAAACTGTCAAACACCGCGAGGACACCGGTGACCGCAACCTATTGTTCTATAATTGTGTCTATAATGACGGTACTCAACGAGTTAAAAGGCCGGTAAAGCACCTGTGACTCCTCTGGTGTTCCAGGTGTCCATGGGCGACGCTGATCGCTTGCCATCAGGTGATCCGTCTGCTCGTTCGCCTCCAATTCCATAAAAAATGAGAAGATAAATGACTCCTTTGTTCTCGCTTCAAAAAACACAATTTAATATTTGGAAAACTTTTTCCATTTTGAGTTCATAACTAAAGTATTTCAATGAATATTTTGACCCAAGTTTTATTAACTTTCTGATAAGAATAATAGAAAGAGAATGACATATTAAAAATCTATAATTTTAACTTTAATTACTGCTTCTGCCGACTGCCTGCTTCATTGGCCGAGTGGTCGCAAGTATAGCTGGGTTTATAAAAAATCTCAGTAGTAGCACGGAGGCTGGAAATGTGCCCGGTATATGGCAATGGGCTCACGCATATTATTTGGGACTCATAACGTAAATAGTGAAAAGTGGGTGTACAGTGGCATAATGTGCACCTCTGCCTACCCCTTCGGCGATAGAAGGCGTGATGTTATGTTATGTTTATAAATCTTATATCATCGTCTATTCCGCGGCCTTAGATTTCAAAAGGAACAGATAAAAATATTGATGAATCTAGATAAAACCAAAAAGATATGAAACAAAATCGTAACATTTCGCGTTGTATTGTCTTTGCCTACCCCAAATGGGAAATAGACGTGGCGATATAAATGCACATATATCTAAGAAGAGCTATTACAGAGAATTTCGGAAACCGAAAAGCCCAATTACACTTTACCCTCGTGTATATTGATCGGAGGTCTCATACGATAGTCGCATTAGTTGAATCAACGAGGCGTTGTACGAACCAACCAGTGTATTTAGACCCACCCTTTTTTCCTACCCAAGTCAGCGTTGGCAATTGCCTATACGTTTTATAAAAGACTAGCTACTTCCGCGCGGTTTCACACGCTCTGCCCAGCTCCTATTGGTCGCAGAGTGATGTTTTATCCTATACCCATCCTCGATAAATGCGCTATCCAACACAAAAAGAATTATTCAAATCAGACTAGTAGTAACGGAGATTAGCGCGTTCAAACAAACAACAAAAAAACAAATTCTTCCGCGTTATATAATAGTATAAGACTAGCTGTGGCCTGCGACTCCATCCACGTAGTATATGATTCCTGGATTATCCCATGGGAGCATTTGATCGAGATATAAAGTATCCCTATCACCTAAGTCAGCCCATACCCTGCCTGTATACCAAATCTCATCAAAATCCGTTCAGTAGTTTCAGCGTGATTGACGGACAAACATACAAAGAAACTTTGACGTTTATAATATACTAGCGACCCGCCCCGGCTTCGTACGGGTGCAATATACATGCATTATACATATAAGCCTTCGTTAAGAATCACTCTATCTATTAAAAAACCGCATCAAAATCCGTTGCGTAGTTTTAAAGATCTAAGCACACATAGGGACAGACAGACGGCGGATAGCGACTTTGTTTTGTAATAAATGAAGTGTTATATTTCCTCCTAGGTTTTACCCGTAGCTTTGCCCTAGCCTATGTCAGGATTAACTAAGGCTACTTTCTCACGCGGACGAAGTCGCGCGTACAACATACATATATACATAACATCACGCTTTTTGTCCCCGAAGGTGTACACAGAGGTGGACATTGCGGCACTTAAAATGCCACTGTACAATGTAACACCCACTTTTCACTATTTTAATATAATGAAAAAGATATGTTTGATTGTTTGTTTGTTTGCTAGAATAGTCTTCGAAACTGCTACACAGATTATGAAAATTCCTTTAAACTGTCAAACACCGCGAGGTCACCGGTGACCGCAACCTATTGTTCTATAATTGTGTCTACAAAACCGGTACTCGACGAGTTAAACTGTCAAACACCGCGAGGACACCGGTGACCGCAACCTATTGTTCTATAATTGTGTC